GAGAGTATCCGCGTCAATTGCTAAACGAAGCTCAGGGTGATAAAGACTGGTTGGTCTCAGTGAGAAGACGAATCCATGAGAACCCAGAACTCCTTTACGAGTTACACGAGACTAGTGCCCTGATTCGTCGCGAGCTTGACGAGTTAAGTGTTTCCTACTCTTTCCCGGTAGCGAAAACCGGGATTGTAGCTCAAATCGGGTCGGGTTCTCCTCCGTTTGTTGCTCTCCGGGCCGACATGGACGCTCTCGCCTTGCAAGTAAACTCGATATTTCTCCTCCTTATTTTTTCTGTTAGTTTCTCAGATTCTGAAGATTGAGTTTTGGTGCGTTGCAGGAACTGGTTGAGTGGGATCATAAGAGCAAAATCGACGGCAAAATGCATGCTTGTGGGCATGATTCACATACCACTATGCTTCTCGGAGCTGCCAAATTGCTTAGCAAACGCAAACATGAGCTCAATGTAAGCCTTTTCTACTTCATTCTCTGGTTTGGTTGGAAGTAAATGTGTTGTGAATTCGAATTAGCTTAGCAAACGAAAACTTGAGCTCAATGTAGGCTTTCTGTTTTCTTCTCTGGTTTGGTTGAAGTAAACTGTGCTGTGAGTTTGTGGAATTAACTTAGAGAACGCAAACATAATAGGTCATATATGTATAATCAGTTTGTTGTTTGCTACAAAAAGGATAAATCTTGTAGTGTTCATGCTCTAAAAATCTGTGAAATTGTCTGTAGTGTTTGAATACAAAAGGATGAATCTTGCATTGTCTGTAGTGTTCATGTTCTAAAATCTTAGTAATTGGAAACGTTTTCGGTTTGATTTGGAGTGTCTTGCAGCTGTAATTGTGTTTGCTTGGTTCTAGAAAGGGTTTAGTCTATCTTTATGTCTTGTTAGGTTTTTGTGAATGAGAAATCCTCCTTGCATTATTGAAAAGGGAACAGTGAGGCTTCTTTTCCAACCAGCAGAAGAAGGTGGTGCTGGGGCTTTACAGATGATAAAAGAAGGTGCTTTGGGTGAATCTGAAGCAATATTTGGGATGCATGTTCATCTTAGCTTACCTACAGGGGAATTATCAACAATCTCGGGTCCTGCTATGGCAGCCACCAGCGTCTTCAGTGTAAGAATTAGTGGAAAATTATCGGGTTCTTGCGTTGATCCAGTGTTGGCTGCATCGTCTACCATCTTAGCATTGCAACATATAATCTCCAGAGAAACAGATCCTCTCTTAAGCTACGTACGTCGTATACTTTTCTTATCTCAGTATTTGCAAGATCAAACCTAAGTCTTCTGATGCTACAAGTTACTTGTTTTGGTTTTAGGTGCTGTCTGTTACATTTATGAAAAGCGGAAGCGGAGCTTCTGAGCTTGATGTGATTCCACCGTATGTAGAATTTGGAGGAACTTTGAGGAGTCTTACAACCGATGGCATGAACTGGTTACGACACAGGTTCAAAGAGGTAGGTACTCGTTGGTTTCAAACAACCTTTTAATATCTTAATCTTATCTCTTGTTACTCTGTTCTAGTAAAGCTTAATCCTTTGCTATAGTTTACAAGTTATCTATCTTCAGTTTGATTTTCGAGCTAACCCGATTTTGGCAACAGGTGGTTGAAGGAGAAGCTGAAGTACATAGATGCAACGCGGATATAGACATGCATGAAGAAGATCATCCAATGTATCCAGCAACTGTGAACGATCCCAAGCTACATGAACATGCTGAGAAGGTTTTGAAGCTCTTGGTTGGAGCGGAGAAGGTGAAACCGGGTAAGAAGGTAATGGCCGGTGAGGATTTTGCCTTCTATCAACAAAGAATACCCGGTTACTTGTTAGGACTCGGTATCAAGAACGAAGAGATCGGTTCTGTGCATTCGGTTCATTCTCCTTATTTCTTCCTTGACGAGAATGTTCTTCCCATTGGATCAGCATTGTTTGCTGCATTAGCCGAGATGTATTTACAAGACCATCAGAAATCAAACTAAGTTTGGATATTGAGGAATAAAAAAAGACAAAGCTTAGATTTTAAATCTCTTAGAGCATCTTTAACGCGGTTTTTTTAGGGTATTTAACAGAAACTTATTAATAAACAAAAGAGCCATCGTTTCTTATTTGACAAAGACGTCTCCTATTGGGGGACTTTTGAAGACGTTTATTCTCACACATGGCGAGATTTTATTGGTTAAAAATTGGAGAGAAAGTTTTTTTTTTTTTGTCATCTCATTTTTTTCCCTTTTATTTCTCCACTGCTCTCTTTTCTCCGACGAAATCGGGGCATCAGGGGTGGGAGATAACGGTGTTGTGGTTCAGAGCAAATCTAGCGATGAAATCGGGAAAATGAGAGATACCGACGATGCGATCTCGCTACTGGAAAATCAACTGGTGACATCTTCTTCACAGCTTCTCATGGTCCTCTCACCTTGATTCAGGGAGCTGTCTCCAAAGGAGCTGGTACGATCTCTTTCTCTCTTGGAAATTTTCGAGATCCTTAGCTACTAGCTAGTGCTGATTTGAATCGTAACCGAGACTCCTCTGCTCTCTTTACTATTGTCTGATCATAGAGAATTTGAAATATCCTTTGACTTGTTCCCCACATTTTTGATTAAATGCAATTACCCTGAAGCTTGAAACTTTGATGTCATTCTTTTGTTACGCTTATGCTGTGGCTCTTTGAATCTGTTTCCTAAGATGAAGTTTGCAAACTCAGTTTCTTCTCTAGATTGATTGAATACTGTGGCTCTTTGAACACTAAACTTGATTGCAGTTTGCCTGGATGGAACATTACCTGGTTATCATCTACACCGCGGTTCTGGATAAGGGGCTAACCGCTGGCTCATCCAACTTGATGTATACATATATTATATATATAATCTAACTCTTATGAATGCTATTTTATTTGTATATTCGCTCAAAAATGCTAATGAGTTTTGATTATGTAAGATTCTTAGAAAATTTCTTTTATCACTCTTCTTCTTCTTCGTCTGTTTTTTCTTCTTAAGAAAATGTTTCTTTAATTTGATGCAGGGTGGAGGATGGTGCAACACACGTAGGAGCTGTATCTTCCGGAAAACCACTGGGCGTGGTTCATCAAATTATATGGAGAAAGTTTTGGCCTTCACTGGAATTTTGAGTGATAAGACTGATGAGAATCCTGGTTAATCCAGAATTATATATCATGAGCTAAACATTTGCTTGCAGTGACTCGGAGTATCTTTTCCTCAGTTTCGTTTTTTTCTTTTTCTTTTATGGACATTTTGCAGATTTCTTCAACTGGAACAGAGTTAAATTGCGTTACTGTGATGGTGCTTCTTTCGCAGGCGATAGTGCAGTGTGGACGAGTATAGAGACGTCAAATTATCCCATGGTGAAGCCACGATAGGTAAAAGAAAGATTCAAAAGAGTTATGAAACTAGAAGAAGGCATTGTTATTCAAGAAATTATATGCAGGTGATTCAAGGGAAGTAGACGAAGAGGCAAAGGAGTGGGAGCACAAGCTCTTGCAAAATAGTATGGACAAAGAATTGCATGAACTGAACCGCCGTCTAGAGGAAAAAGAGGTCTCTTTTGCTTGGTTACTTTTTATGCACTGAAATTTCTTAGGGGTTGAGATTTGTTCTTGTCCATAACTACATAGTCCTTGTATGAAACAGTCTGAAATGAAGCTACATATTTTTCATTAAGTTTGTTCCCAAGAATTTTTTTTTTTTTAAGAAATCAATATGGGTCTCTCTCATTGTATAATCCAAAACCAGAAGTCTCTAAAACCAGTTTTTAATTTCACTTTTTGCTGAAAAACTATTAAAATAATAAATAAAAGACCCATAATAATCTCTGCATTAAGGATGCTCTTACTTACTTACCATCACAAATAAAGTAATTGTTCTTATGAAAACAATTTACAATTGTCTAGCTTTGAGAAATCAAAAGAATCCAAGTGTTGTTGTTAAGAAATCTGTCTCAAATGGTAGGTTGCAAACTTGCAACTTGTCTGAGTTATTAAGACAAATGCCGTTTGATTTTGAGATACTAAAATGATATTTGCACATATAAAAACATTACAAAACAAAACATTTCTGGATTTGTTTTCCGTTTTTAACAATTATAATTTGACTATTCAGATGAAGCAAACAATGATCAAACATGGGTAAGAGTCGGTAGAAAAGAAAAAAAGCAGCATCTAGCTAATCTACAAATCTATGCAAAAGAAAAAGATAAGTTTTGTATTTTTATAAATTTTTAATTTGTCTTTTTTCTAAAAAAAGGAGTTTGGATGAGATAAAGATGAATGTGTCACATGGCACTCACATGAGATCCAAAACTCATCGACTTAGCCACAAAAGGAAATTAGCAAATAAAGAGATTAGTTCAGTTTCACCTAGAACACTGACAAAAGTGATAGACACATTTCACCCTTAATCAAAGTCATTCTAGTCTTAAAAAATAGTCTCCTTGCGCTACTTGTCGGCCAAAAAAAAAAGCATAACACGACGATCGAGCTCAACAACTTGCACTTCATCTTCTGCATCTATCTATATTATTCTAATTATATATACTTCAGCAGATCTTTCGTCTTCATCTTTTTAAAAAACAAAAAGTGTTCTATATTATATATCTAATAATCGAATTTTAATTCGTTCAAGACGATAATTTAGTGACCCGAGCGAAATTTAAGTTTGCTTTCAAACTTATATCTGATTTTAAAAACATTGGCTTTTGGACATTAAGTTGAATCTACAACATCATTTCGACGTGTTAGGGAAGATCAACAACAAAGGCAAGGAATCTTGGTTTTGGAATCCATAAGACATTGTTTTTTTTTTCTAGTACATGAAACCCTAATCAAATTTAAATCAATCTCTTGTCTCCATTAAATTTGCATACTCATATTTTATATTCAATTTGCTAAACAAAAGTTCTGTTGCTTATTGGTTTTAGTTTTTCCATATATACTACAAGTGTTTTTTTATAAAAAAAAGGATTTGGCAGTCGTTATAGCCTCTTCTCTCACTTGGAAAGCCATGACGAAGACCATTAATTTCAAGACCATGTTCCTTCTAACCAAGTTTAACCACGTACGTACTTCGATAATCCCTCGGATCACGTGACTTTCGTTGGATCTGTCAAATTATTAAAATTAAATCTTCGAATTGAAACTTTAACTTGGCATAATCAAAAAGTCCACATATTCTTTGGGGAGTTGAGAAAAATCATCAACAGAGAAAAGAAAAATCTTCATCGTCCATACATGTATTATGTATACACGTACAATAGTAAGCTCATCAAAAAAAAAAGGTAAGCTCTCGATTATTGATTACCGTGAGAGCGAACGCTACCTATAAATCCACATATAAATACTACAGTTTCCGATATTTTGTTTTTTTTTTCTTTTTATCATTCGTATAAAAATGTTAGGATTTTTATTAGTGTATGTATCATTTTTTTCCTGATTTTTGGTGTTGTTATGTGTCCTTTGTTGGATTGAAAATATAATGTTGTTGGTTAGTTAGCAAATGAAAAAATGCCCTTGCCGGAATACTAATTTAACAAGTATTTTGATCACAGTAATTATCAGATGAGTCGATTTGTTAAAGGACCTTAATGCGTTATATATATACTTACTATAGAGGGCGATTTTTGTTTGATTTTGTCTAAAAAAAAGATTGGTTTGATTCGCCGCTATTCTTGTACGTTGAATATATGGAATTGACCTAAAGGTTTATTCATTTGAAAAATTTGTTCACACAGAGCTCCAAAAATAAAATATATTATCACAAAATGTATTTGGCCCAAGATGTGAACGCTGGGTTAGACTGGATAATTTTTTTTTGGCTAAGGGCATCAGCCGATAACCTAAAATATTCAGTTTTAAATAAATCACACGATTTACGAGCGTTGCATTTTTTTTCATTGATCAAAAGCTTTAGTTTCTTGGACATTAACGACGTATGTTAATAATTTCATCAAAGAATTTCTATGTACACAACTACACATCAGGAATGCATCATGCCTTTTTAAGTTAGTTTTATGGCGCCTCTTAATAATTATCATGGTAATACGTTGTTATATATTATCTCGTCCCTATAGGCCTATAGTATACACATTGGGTTTAGGGTTTACTAGATGAAAGTTAAAAATTTGATATTGCTTTAATAATGAAATATGTATGTTTTTTTTTTAAAATGCTACTACTAATTAGGAGGCGGAAAAGGAGAGGCAATAATACATCAAATTTTAAGAAGTGTAAGGTAGGGCAGAGGGACCCTTTATATCTAATTCATAATATGTCCCCTCACGTAAGGGATTTTGAAGATCTGTAATATCTTATATTTTTAACGTACCATTTTTGTAATTTCGAAGTCCACTCTTTGATTTTCTGAAAGGGACAAAATAAAAATAAAATAACATTCTAGAGATTTTTTCGGCCATTAACCAAATCTAATTTAAGATTCAGATATAGGTAAATAAATTCAAAATTGAAGACACTCATCTCTTTTGACCACAGAAACAAAATCATCTCTTTAGATTAGAATCATGTTTGAACAATTTTTTGTCTCTTTTCAAAATAGTAATTAAATTCACAGTTTCGTTGCCTAATGTAACATGGGAGGATAGAACGAAATCTATACTGCTCTGTAAATTATGCCAGAGAAAGTTTGATTTGTACGACCCTTATTGTGGTCAAGTCTAGACTCTAGTTTTTTTTTTTTTTTTACTACAGGTAATCTGTTTTTACGGTTCGTAGTTGCTAATTGACTCCCACACTAATCGCTATATGAATTGGCCACCTTGGAGTAAATTTTGTTTCTTTGATCTTCAGCCAGACTTTCAAATTTGATCACGAATTATGAAGCTTCGATTCAAGAAAATACAATTCACACTTTCAGAATCCTCGGTTCTTAAGATAATATCTATAATTATCATAAGAACCTATATTATAATTAGTGTATTACAGTTCTTTTTTTTAGTGTATTACAGTTCACAACGCATCTAAAGTTTCGGCTGAATAAAAAACTCTATTGATTGAATATGATGAATCTGATCGATGATGTAACATTAGGGCAACATGTGAACGTGGCATGTTATATACACGTAGTTGAAGAAACCATTAATTACTATTACTATCGCCAACAAGAATCGACACAAAATATTTGATGTGCATATACAACTACAAGAAAAAAGGATACATCATTAACTTTATCATACCGATCGTTGAACTCTATGGATAAATCACATACACATATAGCAACTCTCCGTCCATTTATAGTCTTGTATATTTAATACTACTATAGATGTAACAATACATATATATATATATAATTTTAACCCAAAAACTTATCTATATATATATATAATTAAATCTAAATGAAATTGTAGACAAAAAAGCTCGTAAACCTTAACAATTTTTAGTATTATCTAAACGTTGAACTAATTAATATTCTTTCCGTTTGATATAGTTATGTTTAAACCAATTATTTTGATTCATGATTTCCGTTATACATATTTAGTTGCCGTTTAAGAATTTTTTTTTACAGCACAGTATATTTTCTTTATTGAAATTAGGAGTGGGAATCCTATGTATATTATCATCATTCACCCGATAGATTTAACCAAAATCGATTTCCGTTTTTGTTTTTAATTTACAGAGCTCTATTATCAGATATATGTTAATTTCCTTTTGTTAATGTAAACGAATTAGAAAATTAAAATAGTAGTTTGCGACTTGTATTAGTTTTCTTTTGTTAATGCTAATCATGGATAAGACAATGAATTATTGATGTGCATGTACTATGTGCAGTACTAAAAAAACACATAATTGCAAAACAACAAATTCTGATGAATCCAGTCCAGCTATCACTAACTTTCCAATGTATATAATCTGTCTGCATAATATTTTCAGAAAAAAAAAATGATCCAATGATGAACTATCAATTATATGACCTTTTGTTTACTGCTACAAGTGTAGCTTTTCGATAATGATTAAATTTTTCCTATGTTAAACAAATACTATGAAATATCATTTTTTATATATAATTCATTTTGTTTTTACATCTGTATGCGTGAGAAGCAGGTGATTATAAAAAAGAGAAAGAGACAAAATAATAATAATAATAATAAATAAATAAAATATTCGAGCTCTTTTCTCTCCGACTCTGTACTGAAAGTGAATATGGTCCGCCTCTATATATAAAGACACAAAAGTCTCTCATCTTCTCCCTACTCAAGTTTTCTTACACACACACAAAAGAGAACAAGAAAAACTCGAAGAGTCTAGAAATTTCCAAAGCTAAGAGCAAAAATACATAAAAATATGATCTCAGTGGTGATTATTACCGAGCTACTAGTGGAGTACACGGCGGCTCTCGCTAAACTCACCGCCGGGATTCTCCCACGACGGACCGGCGATAGAAACGCCGTACGCATCGGCGGTTTCCTCCTCCCCGCACCTTCTCCGTCGTCAATGATTCCAGATTTCTCTTCTCACCTCGTCGATTTCTAAACTCTTTCTTTTTATATATATATATATATATATATACGTTTTTGACTTCAGATTTGCTCTCTCTTTCTCTCTGAGAAGCGGCTGAGATTTTTACCGAGTGTCTCGTCGTCTCTTTTCTCTTTGGGTCTTAAAATCGCATAGAGCTTTGTAAATCCGTATCTAATTTATTTAGAGATGATTGATCTTCTTTTTTTGGTTTCCCCATATATGATTTTGGATTTTTTTTTTTTCCAGTGTATTGATATTGTCTAAGCACAATATCTCGATCTGTAATTTTCATAACTAGATTGCTAATTTAGTTTATAATGGAAATGAAATCTTGCGAGCAACTTTTTTTTTCCTTATTCAATAATTTTCACAAATGGTGCTGATCTAACTCTCGATCCGATGATCGCGGTTGATGATGACCAAAAATAAATAAAAATGATCAATGCGTTGAGTTAATTTTTTTAAGTGATTACTAGTAGTATTCGATATTGATGTCATTGCTCACGTCAAGAAATTAAGAAGAAGAACATTTCTTCAGTAAACTGTTTAAAATAATGAATCTTTCTACTTGTTAGAACATGCTAGTGTGAATGAATTAAGTATATCCAAGTTGATAATTACGGAGTAATTAATTTAAAAGTGCATTGGTAGAAAACTCTGAAGGTTTAACAACTTAACTACTTAATTAATAGAGAGTTTGTAATGTACGCCATCTTTATAAATCTCAAGAGAGCCAAGCGTTACTATAATTAATACTACTATGTACACTAATTCCAAAGTTACAGAAAATAATGAAAATTGAGAGAAATTATGTCAAAAGCGTATCGTCTTTTTTTTTTTTAGCCGGAATTGTACTTCTGAATTTCGTAACACAATTTCACATTTTATATAACTAATTCACACTCTATATAATTCGTAAATGGTCTATACAATCCCGTTAAAGATTTACAATTGCATTATACTACTTTTACGAAGCAAAACAAAATATACGTAAATTATATATGAACTTTTTTGTTCGAATGTGAAATGCAAATATAATTAATGACCGTACATCACTTGTATATGATGTTATCATTTTTTTTTCATGTTTACATTATATTAATGAGATATAATTGAAAAATTAATTATAATAATACTTATTTTTTGATATTTACGTTTAAAACAAGGCTAACAAGCCAAGATAAACGATTTAAATCATTGAAGTTGATTGGTGTGAGCGAAACATACATGTATTTGGCAAACATTCATCAGCTTTCGTTAGTAATTTTAAATTTTGTAGATCCAAACCGTAATTTTTTTTTTGGCGAAGCTCGCAGATTAATGGGCATAACTCAATTTTTTAAAATATTTTACAAACTATTACTTGTAAATCCAAGACTACATCTACAAGCACACGTGGACCCATTTTTTTGCCAAATGGCTAAATGACGACGTATTAGGTTGTTGTTGTATGTTGTTTTGTGGGATTTTTGAAAGAAAAAAGTGTATCGTTGTCTACATTATGTTAGACAAGCAATTCCTTCCTGTCTTACTACCATATAGCAGCTTTGGAAATCTTGATCGAAATTTTCCAAAATATTGATACTTTATATATCTATATATATAATACATTTTTTATAGTATATAATAATACATTTAATAAAGATATAGAGAGGTTAGAGACAAAGTTGGTTGGAATTATTTTGGATGAAACCAAAAACGAAAAAGTTCATGGCGTTTAAGAGACACAACAAATTCATACAGACAGGTTTAGGAATGATTGTGCCTTTTGAATGGTTCATAATATGCCAATATCTCTATGTAAAAACGCCTAATCTAAAGACAAAATTTCGACAGCGTAAAATTCTAAGCCGTAAATTTAAAACAGTTTTGAATCCACCACAGTAGAAAAAAAATATGAATGCTAAGATTTTAATTCGTATATAAATCAATAGTTTACATTTTTAAATATGAAAACTTTCTGTACAATCGTGTAGACCTTGTTTTTTGTTTATCTACAGAATTTTGGATATTCCATCTAGTATGTTTTATTTGAAAAAAAAATTACTTTGAATGTCATTTTCCAGTTTTTTTTTTCTTTCAAAAAGTATATATAGTAGAGAAAGATTAAAATACTGATGAAGCATGACGAGGTAAGAACAGTACTGTGAAAGCAACGGTTTACTCGAGATTTTTGTGTTCGCAAGACGTGTCATGGCATCGGCCGGCGTGTGTAGGTCATCTCCTATTGTTACCAAAATTCCCAAGTTTATTACAATTAACTTAAATATATAAAACGGTTCAAAGTTTCTAACTAAGACCTTCAAAAATTACAGCAATTTTTAATCTTTTTCTTTACATATAAATTCTTTTCCACATGTCATCTCAACTTGAGATTTCAGAAGACGACTTGTCGTGTATATTTAAACACATTTACAAGTAAAAACGTATATTCTCATACAGTCATATTATAGGTGCATTTGTAGACGTGGACTGGGTTTTACTATTGTATCATCAATTCGATTGCATCGTTTTCCATCCTTTCTTAATTGGTAGTTATTACCAATTTCCAATCAGTTACAATCATTATTGATATGATTATACAAGTTTACAACTATGAATTATTGTTGAACTGAAAGAAACTTATTGAAAGTCTATCTACTTGCATGAATCAATACCTACCCATAATAATTGTAATTGATACAACCATTGCCAGTTGCTCTTGAAGACTAGCTTTCTATTAAATTTGCATCAATTATCATCTTTAACAAAAAAATATCATATTATCATATGTAGACCCAAAACATACACTTTATTATAAAAGAGTAATTACCACATTGTTAACTAGCTCAAGATAATTCTACATCCTGGTGTTTTTATTTAATTCATTCTTCCTAGCTAGTTAACAAAAAGAAAGAACAAAACGCGTTATTAGTTGTTCTCTTAAACGTATAAAATGTATATATATATATATATATATATATATATATTAAGGAGGAAATATGGAATATAATGTTGGAAGAGATCTTGACCGAAAAGAAAAAACAAATTGTTGAAAGATGGTATAGGTTGTCATATAGTGCACTATTCAATTACAATACTAAAAATAATTTTTAATCTACCCTAAAAGTCGCAGTTATATTTTCATGTTGACCAATCGGGGATTGCATTTATGAAAACAGATTACACGATCCCACACATGGATTATTGGATTCACAAAAATCCTCTTGCCATATAGACGATCAGAGTCTTATGTAGAAAGTCTAGAGATGTACCTTGATTGCAAAAGGTTTTATGATTTTATCTGAGCCTTTTCACATACAAAAGATTTACTCAAAATAACCGATGTGGCAATCGTGAAATCTTATATATTATAATATTATATTTGACATTATATAACGTTTTTCTAAAAACACACCTTTTCTGCCAATTTAGCTCTAAAATTGTTGTTCACCAAAAATCAAACTTTTAAATTGGAGTCTTAAAATTTTGGAATAAACTTAAACTGAAAAAAAAAACTTGAGCAAAAAAAAGGGAAAAAAAAACCACATTCATGAGAAATAGAAAGTAGAAAGCATATAAAAAATCAGTAATCAACGGACCTCAAAACAAGTCGCCCAATAACATGCTCATAGAC